AAGTACAACAAATTTAGATTTATCAGAATTGTCTGCCATTACAATTGTCCTTTTTCTGAATTAGAAGGAAGTCCTCATACATTAAATACCATAACAATCTCAAAAGTGGCACATAGTTGTTTTCTCTTCCTAACATTTATTCATAGTTTACTAATTTCCATGTGCAATATATTCCCAAGAAAAAGAAACTGGGTACAAATTTATGGACAGTATTGGCATCCATAGGGGATACTAAAAACCAGTGTATTATGAAAAGAAGGTTGTAGTTCAAGCTCTGTTTTTTTAATGTGTCTGTAACTTCAATGGGTGATGAAAAGAATTGGAGTTTGCATCAGAATGCTCTATATACCATCTTATTGATTTTTGAAATGTTAAAAAATACTAAAAAATATAAGTTTATAATGAACAGCAAAAGGACCATTACATGAAAGTTAAGAAGATATGCCGCTAAAACAAAATATTACATACATGCATACAGAGATAAAAACATACTTATATGGCTCATTACTGTTTTTCCACTATATTCAAGATAAGACTTTTTAAAAGGTCACATTTCAAGAATCACAGTCTAGATTTCAGGCAAATGCAATACTTCTAATAAGGTGATATTATTTCAGTAATTTTTGTGCGGATTCTGAATGTAAATATTATACTTGTTTGTGATGGTTACTTCAAATGATTTCAATAGCAAAATATATTAACACAGCTCAGATAACAGAGTATAATTAAATACATACACAAAATATAGATGGAATAAAATCATACCATCTGATTTACAGCTCGACACAAAATGAAAATTGCCACTTCAAATTCCATTCTTGATGTTACGGCATTTTAAAACTTAATCACAAGATCTTGTATTTTCACTCTATAGAGATGGAAACCAGCATAACATTTTAATGTGAAAATTTATGCAAATAAAGCTTATTTATGATCACACAGTATGGAAGTGAGACATTTGCATTGAAGTAAGTTCAAATCTGTAACTAAATGAATAAAAACATTTTCCCCCTGGGTCTAATATATTACTTTCTCATTTCATATTTCAGACCTTAAAGATGGTGAACAATACCTGCAGTATTTTAACATTCACACCTTATGGCAAACATCATCAATATAACTCTATGATTATTATTCCAGCAAGCCTCGAAAATACATAATTTACATAAGATTTGCTACTTCCTCACAATACAGCCTCTGGCAAAGGCTAAATGAGACAGAGATTTGATAAAATGGTTTCAAAGGACCAGCAAGCTACGTTTGCATTGCAGTTCTTTAAAGTATAATAAAACATTGCAATGAAAAGTTGAACACCTCCAGGACCTGTTCAACTGGGCCCAAGAAGACTATACTGGATTTACACTCTTCTTCTCTCATTCTTCTCTTCTGAAAGTCATCATCCATACATTTGATTAGCAATACTGTAGAAGAGAAACTGGATCAATAATTTGGAGAATGTCCAAGTTTATAGAAAATTCAGAAGGAGGTTGTGCCATAAGCCAGAGATCTTAATACATGAGCATTTCAGTCCAAGTTTCCTTTGGTGAAAAATGTTTGTTTTTTTAATTATTGATCAAGAAGAATTGTCAGAATAGAAAACTCTGTGTGTTTGTGTGTACACATCTCCATCTCCATGCAATATCTGGTCATAGAATTGTAAAAACAACCTCATTCATTCATCCTTGACATCTTTGTCTAGGGGAATTTGGCCTCTGGCAAAATACATTTCCTACTCCTACATAGATCAATGAAATCCAATAATTGAATTGTCTTCCTACTGTCAGCCCTTCATGGTAAGCCAAGTCAAAAATCATACAGATCATTCGTGGGATTCAAATTTTTTTACTACTGGTTCTGTAGGTGTGGCTTTGTGGGCGTGGTGTGGCTTTGTGGGCGTGGCATGGCTTTGTGGGCATGGCGTGACTTGGTGGGCATGGCAGGGGAAGGTTACTGCAAAATCCCCCATTACCACGCCACTAACCTGCTTTCCACGTCCGTCCTCCTGTGCAGGGTAACAAAAGAAGACCCAGCCGATCAGCTGGGATTCAGGAGGCAGAGAATAGATGGGGGCGCCACTCAGAAGTGGTATTTCCTGGTTCTCCGAACTACTCAAAATTTCTGCTATCGGTTCTCCAACCAATAGTATTCCAGGTATTCCTGCTCCTCCGATACAGATCAAAGATCTCAAAAATGCTAAATTTACCGAGAGTGGCATACTGTATCAATTGCTCTCCTCCTGAACCACTTTTATTAAAAGGACTTGAATTCTGAATTAAAAATTTCACTGGCTTGCAAGAATAATTGCTAGAGATATTCAGCAAAGTATCTTTACAAAGAGGCAAAGGAATATACAGTAGTCATATCTGGATAGAGTAAGAAAGTGTGACAGTAGAATTTTTCTCTAGAAATGAAGATGAAATGGAGGAGGAGAAAGAATTCCAGAATACATAACTAAAAACTGAACATTGTCCTGATTGAAATAATGAGGTTGATCTAATTCCACAATTTTACTAGTTGATGGAAAAGCACAAACAGGATTTAACATTGCAATGTAATAAATAAATATGCCCGAGGATGCAAGGGGGGGTAATTAAGTCACCCAAAAGACGGGCTAGCCGTTTTTTGGGGGTGGGGTCAAAAAAAATAAGGGCCAGCCTTATTTTGTGAAAAACACGGTATGGTATATCAATGTCATTCTTTTTTCTTTTTATATTAACCGAAATGCTTTCAAGAAGGTTTTTATTCTTGTTTTGTGCATTTTTGTAAACTAAACAGATTTCTGAAACTGCTCAGTCAGCTAAGAGTGCTTAAGACATTGCTATAAATACTGAGAGTGATCTTGGAAGAATTAGAAAAAAAAAGATATTATAAACATGAAACACGAACTTGGGTAATGTTCAGGGTAGAAACAGAAGAAATAACTTAAGGCTCAGAGGCATTCAGGTGGAATATAGAAAGAATGACTTATTAGGATATTTTATTCCAAAAATTAATGAAGTGGTGCCAGAAACGCAACTCACTGAAATAGATATGGAGCGTATCTATAGAATATACTAATCTTTGGCTCAGAAGAATGCAAGGATCACAAGTTTTAGCTATAATATTTGTCAGTGCTTGGGTAAGAGATATGATTGTGTATTAGGCTCATGAGCTGGAGAAAATAAAAGAAAGGAAGATAATATATCCTTTCCAGGATAATAAGTCGAATAACACAAAGAATGAGAGATCTAAACATCTTTATTTAGTTATTTAATTTATATTGATGCCCATGGCGACTCGAGGTGGCTTACACAATGTAAAACCATATTTAAAACAGAAAAATAAAAACAATAAAAACTAACAAAAAGAATCAAATAAATCAGTAAAGTACAATAGAACGAAGTTTGGGAAAACAAAAACCAAAACAAAACAAAAATCAAAAACCAACTCCAACCCCGCTCCCCAATGACAGAAGATCACACTAGTCATCGGATGGGCTCCATCCCTCTCTGGGTTCCCCTGGCCAGCTGGCAAAACCAGGTTTTCAGTGCCTTTCAGAAGAGTATTAGTGAGGGGACATTCTAATCTCTGGGGGAATGATGTTCCAGAGAGACAGAGCCACCACGGAGAAAGCCCTTCTTCTGTGTCCCACCTGGTATATCTCCCTTAGGGGTGGAACCTGCAACATTCCCTGCCTCCTCGCTCTAATGGGTCAGGTGACTGGCAAGAGACGTTCCCTCAGATAACCTGATCCCAAGCCATGAAGGGCTTTAACGGTGACGACCAGCACCTTGAATTGCACCCGGAAGCAAATCGGCAACTTAATGCAGCTTCTGCAGGAGAGGTGACACATATGCACACCAGGGTCTGCATAAAACCATGTGGGCTGCTGCATTTTGCACCAACTGGAGCTTCCGGGTGCTCTTCAAGGGCAGCCCTATGTAGAAAGCGTTGCAATAATCAAGACAGGAAGTGACCAGGACATGAATGACTGTGAGTAGGGACCGCTGATCCAGGAAAGGGCGTAACTGATGCACAACCTACAGTTGCACAACGGCCCTCCTGGCCACAACCGCCACCTACTCTTCAAACAGGAGTTGTGAGTCCAGGAAAACCCCTAGATTACGCACAGGGTCTGTTTGGGGTAGTGCCACCCCATCCAACACTAAAGGTGGTAATTCTCCCTGAACTAACGAACCCCAAACCCAAAGCCACTCGGTCTTGCAAGTGTTTAGTTTCAATCCGTTGCTCCCCATCCAGCCCTTAACAGCCTCCAGGTATTGCGAGATGGAGAACACAGCAACACTTAACTCACCATGGGCTGAGACATACAGTTGAGTATCATCAGCATATTGGTAATGCCTCAGTCTATGGTGACGGATGATCTCACCCAGCAGCTTCATGGAAATATTGAATAGGATCAGAGAGAGTACCGAGCCCTGTGGAACCCTGTAAAGCAGTGGCAAGGATTGCTCTCTCCCCTCCTATCAACACTGACTGAGAGTGGCCGCAGAGGAAGGAAGTGAACCAAGACAGCACAAGTCCTCCTACTCCCATCCCCCGAAGCCGCCCCAGGAAAATCCCATGGTCAATGGTATCAAAAGCCGCCGATAGGTCAAGTAGAGCAAGGATTGATGCACTACCCCCATCCCATTCCCACCAGAGATCATCCAAAAGTGCGACCATTGCTGTTTCTGTCCCAAATCCAGGCCTGAATCCTGACTGGTAGAGTCGAGATAATCTGTTTCATCCAGAAACCTCTGGATCTGTTGCGCAACCACCTTCTCAACAATCTTCTCCAAAAAGGGAAGATTGAAGACAGGTGGGAAATTATCCAACCAGGTGGAGTCCAGCAATGGCTTCTTAAGAAGAAGAGGGCGGACCATAGCCTCCTTAAAATGCTGGGGCACTGTGCCCTCCTATAGAGAAGCATTAATCATCGCACGAGTCCACCTGCCTGTCACTTCCTGGGAAGCTTTCACAAGCCAGGAGGGACACAGGTCTAAAATACAGGTGCATACTCCCTAGGATCCTGTTCACTTCCTCAGGAGGGTCAAACTGTTCCCAGATAACAGGGCAAGAACCTGCCTCAGGAGCTTCTACTGGATCAGCAACCACACCAGCATCTAACTGGGAATGAAGTTGAGCAATTTTGTCTTCCAGAAAATCCGCAAATTCCTCAGCGCGTCCCTTCAGGTGGACCTCAATCTCCTCCTTGCCTAGGAAGAGACAGCTCACCTTAAAGAGGGTCACTGGGTGATTATCTGCAGACGCAATTAGTGTGGATAAGTATTTACACTTCACCTCACAAATCATCACAAGGTAGGCCTTTGTAGCAGCTCTTACACGTGTTCAATCGAGTTGATCTCCTGTCTTCCGCCAGCGGCATTCTAGATGTCCTCTCAGTTCCTCTGTATACCATGGGGCACAGAGAGGTCTATGGGTGAGGGGAGGTCGCAAGGATGCAATCCTATGCAGAGCCTCAGTCACCTTCCTATTCCAAACAGTGACTAAGAGCTGGCTGGACTTCATAATAGATCTGCAGTTATAACCTCAAATTCCTTCTGGAACCCAACTGGGTCCATTAGTCGACAGGGGCAGACCAATCTAATAGGTCCTGCCTCCCTCCAGGGGGTATGCAGCTTTTGAGAAACTCATTGCCACCAGACTGTGATCTGACCATGACAAGGGGACCAAGGAGAGGTCTACCAATTCCAGGTCACATAGACACTGCTCCGACAAGAACACCAAATCGGGGTGTGTGACCACTATTACTAGTTGGGCTCTGGATAATCTGGGACAGGCCCATGGAAGTCATGGTTTCTATAAAATCTTGGGCTACCTCCGACCTTGACCCCAGAGAAGGCAGGTTGAAATCCCCCAGAACTATAAGCCTGGGGAATTCCACCACCAGCCCTGTGGTGAGGTCCAAGAACCCGGGTAGGGAAGCTGCCACGCAGCAGGGAGGCTGCTATAGCAGCAGCAATCCCACTTGATCTCTTGAGCTCAATCTAAGAAAAAGGGTCTCACAGCCGGGGATTTGCTGAACGGTGCCTCTGGAAGCTATTGCGATTCTCTGATAACAACAGCCACACCTCGTCCCCGGCCCTGAGATCTAGACTCGTTCCATGCTTGATAACCCACTGGGCACATTTCTACAGGAGAAACGCCTCCCTCTGGACTCAACAAGGTCTCAGTTATACAAGCCAGATCAGCCTTCTCTTCGAATCTTACCGAAGAACTTACAACACAAGGAATAAGATACCTTTTTATTTTTATAAATAAGGTGGCAAACATATCTAATCCTTCTATTTGCCCCACAACAACAACCACGTGTAATGAGATGGACTATGAGAAAATGACTGGCTTGTAGTCACCCAGCCAACTGGGTGCAGATAAAAAGTTACATTTTTTCAGTTTATTTCATAAACTAGCAACTTTGAATGTGAGGACAATGGCAGATTCAGTAAAAAGAATGAGCAAATATATAATATCCTTCAAGACATAAATAGCCATAAAGTAAGTTTTATTACATCAATTAACTGATTTTAGATTACTAACATTCACTTGAAATGAATGATCTTTGCAAAAGTGGACCAATGGTTTTAACTCTCTTCAGCTCTCTCAAAATTACATTATTGGTGATTTTGAAGCAATTGCAATATCAAATGTATATAACAAAGAAACCAAGAGTTTCTCTTTTAACTTTGGGAGATGACACTTCATTTCACTTAAACACCCTGCCATAGAAATTGACATAGAAATTAAAAGGTATTGGAGTGAGGATATTTCCTCCTAGTCAGTATCACTTTAGAAAATTTCTTGTGGTATAAGTTAATATTACTACACATAGCCCTCAATTTAAATCATTGATTTTATGAGAGTTTGGAGTTTCAAAGGTGAAAAACTAACAGTAACTTACAACTTAATCTTAAAGTTATGACCTTCATATCATCCGCACGGTCTTATGATGCCACGATTTGGGCATCTGACAACCAGCTAACATTTATGATTGTTGTGGTGTCACGCAGTTATATGACTACTATTGGTGACCTTCCCTTCCATCTAGCTTCCAACAACCCCATGATTCATTTAATGTCCATGTCATTTGTTTAATGACAACTGTGACTTGCTTAATGACAATATAAAAATGATTGTAAACTTGGGATGGTCACCTGATCAGTCAATGACCACATTGCTTGGCAATTAAAATTCTGATCCCAGTTGTGGTTATAAGCCAAGATTGCCAGTATATAATTAATATATGAGAATAAGGAGATGATAATCTACCAAAGATGAAGTACCAAATATTCAACTATAAGAGAACAAAAAGTTTGCTCGAAGTACAATATATACATTTTTCAAATAAGTCTGATTTCAGTTACATTTCTGCACAAAGTCCTTCCAACCAAATATACATGCAATGTGGAACATTCAGTCTTAAAGACAATCACTCCACCAGAGCATTACAAGTCCAACCAATTTTGTAGTTTCAGCCATAAATGCCTAAGGGTTAGGATTAGAAATGACTTGCCCAGTGGTGTGAATAGAGCTATTAGTCCAAGAAAAAAAAATGTTGAAACCAGTACAGGTCTTTATCAATATGCATTATTCTTTATCAATACAGGAGAAAAAGTATCACAGCTGGATATGTTTTCAGACTTCAACGAAATTATCAATTTGCATATCTCCTTAGTAAAAGAAGAGACCAGGTAGGTGGATAAACTTTAATGCAACATCACAATAGGAGGAATAGCCATATTCTTTCACTTAAATAGTCACAATGTGTGGTGTTTTGCTTATAATAACTGAGAAATCAGCTCCAGATAGTCTCCAGCAAGTTCCAGAGGTATGATTTCACTGCTGTAATCATTTGTTTGAAGTAGCATTATAGCTTAAAAGACATTTCTTGGTTTAATCTTCTTGTAGGGGACACTCAACCTTTTCTGTTGGGAGTATCTTTGGGTAAGGAATATTCAAAGGCTTTTTCTTTTATACTCCAGTGCCATTTTTACACCTTTATGTTTCTGATCAATCAGTGCTCCGGTCTACTCTGGCTTGCTTTTTTCTTCTTCTTTTAGCTAGTATTTTAACTGCTGCGTTTGATGTTCTGCCAAATGAGATGGGATTGCAATATATGTATGTTTATTAGCCCTGTAGCAGCAGGACATTGGAGCTAATGTTTTTTGAAAATCCGCTTTATAATCCTATTATAATATTCCAAACATGATTATATTGAGGCATGCATTGAAATGTCCATGAACAGGTGCAAAGGTAGTTATGAATCTTTACTGAGCATCCTCACTGCCTCTAAAACTGGACATTTACAGTTAAGACCACATTACAACTATGAAATTATCTTGTACCTTCAAGGATTGTATCACCCCATCCAACACAAACTAAAATATGTTTCCTGATATGCCTCCTAACATTTCATTCAGCCAATTACTTATTTAGAAGATTTAATCCTTATATTTTTAAAAAAAGCAATTCAGAAGTGTGAGCTATCAACAAAAAGGTATAAAAAAAACTAGGACATTCTTCTTTTAGGTTTTCTCCTAAGAGTTGACTATTGCCCACTGAATGACTAATGACAGATTGTAGTATTTCTTTCCATTCCTTTGTCATTAAAAGCAGAAAAAACAAAAAGGAGAAGAGAGTTGTCAATTCAGTACATGGACAAAAATAAATCATGACCATGAAAATTAAACTGTTTCCCAATTAGCAACTCTTCATATCATGAAAATCACAGGTTCTGGAAGCCACAATGTACAACACTGTAACTGCACAAATTATACACTTGCATTGTTGTGCACCACCAAAATTGGCATAATTCCGGTCATTTATTTGATAATGTTTTGGCACACTTGATGCCACCGAAAGCGAAACTTCAACGGATATAAATATTTTGGTATATGGCCTATTTTCCTTACCTTTATTAATATTAATAAATAATTATTATCTTCTTGCTCCATTCCTGGATTTGTATGTATTTCTTTACATACACTTTTCTATTATATAGAAATTCTACTTCTACAGTAGCTTTTGTTATTAAATGTATTAAGCTTGTAATTGGAACAGGGAAAACACAGAATCTACAAAGACAGACACAGTCGCACTACAGATAGATAACTGAATATTTCCAGTTAAAGAAACCCTGGTAGTATAGTTTTTACCATTGCAATTTAAAATTATTTTTATTTACAACAGTAGGTTTCTTAAAAATGTTTCTTCCCCGGGCATTCCCTTAAGGCCGAGACATAATGCATCTTAACAAAAGTCAGCTATGTCACATATTATTGGCAATACATTCTTTGAAAATTGTCCCATTCAGAGTAAAATCTGATGTTAGATTCATTTTAAAAAGCTTTAAAGTAAGTTAGCTAAATTTATATTTCATTTTCTGCATTCAGATTAAAAGTGATGTTTATTGTTCATTTTAACCTCATTCAATAAAGGGAAGTCACTGATTGTTACAGCAAACTTAAACATCTGTTCAAATACAACAGCTTCACTGGGAAACTTTCAATAGGAAAAAAAAAATCTTTCAGATAAAAGACAACCATATCACAATAGCTAGAGTGGGAAATGGGATATGGCCATGATAGCGAACCTATGGCACGCATGTCAGAAGTGGCATGCAGAGCCACTTCTGCCAGCAAGCAAGAGGTCGCCTGGAAGAGCCTCACTTGGCATGCGTACGGGTGACCCCGCCAAGCAGCTGATTGTTGGGTATCTGCCACACATGTGCAGGGGGAGACACGTGCGTGAGAGATGCGCATGCATGCGCAGAGGCATGCGGCTTGCAGGGGTTTTGCATGTGCATAGGCATGAGGTGCACACTCAGGGGTCACACACGCATGCACAGGGGGCGGGGGAGTTGCGCATGCACTGCATCTTGGGTGCAGGCACGCAAGCGTATGCATGCACACACATGCATGCGCTTTTGGCACACAACGTGAAAAAGGTTCGCCATCACGAGGATGTGGCATCATCCTAATGCTTGTATACTAGTGGTTTTCTATTTGTTCTTTCAGTGTACTTTGTAATGAGGAAATATTGATTTTAAGGGCTGCTAAAAAAAGGTCTTCCATTACAAATTATAAAATTTCACATGCTGCTGAGCTACTAGTTGTTCCGGTCATAAAAAGTTTGCTATTCTGCTCATTGGATCTAGGAAAATTATCCTTAATAAAAGAATTATCAAAGAACGTGAATTCTTGTCCTTTCTTGTCTGCCTCCAACACATTACAAAGAGCCTTAA